CCCCCCGCTTGACAACTCACTGACAGTGCTGGATTTATGCACCAATTTATCAGCTCGCGCGTGCAATGCGCAGCTACTTACCCCCCAATCATCGGTGAACGAAACTGTGGCAGCTACAACCAGTGTACGACCAGTACGCGGTTATTACAGCGGACAATGATGATGATGATGACGTCCCATGGTTAAGCGTGAATATACAGCCGATATCAATGAAGACGTTTTAGGATGTCGATCCACCGGGAAAGCAGTCTTCGGCTACGACACTCAATTTCGTTTGGGGTTTCACTGCTTCTTGTTGAATTAGATTTAATGCTGGATTGTGCAATGTATCCACTGATGTGACACTGCTCACCATCTGATTTTGCAAGATTCAGGGTCTACTTTGGCGAACAGGAAAGATTGAATGACCCGATCCACGAGGCGGTCTGCTTCAATGAAAAATGCAGTAAAACTTGGGATCAGAATGACAGAATTATCGACTGAAACATTTCGGGGCGAAGAAGTAGGCCCAGAACATGGCAATGGTTTAAATGCACTGTACCGGTGATGCGCCGTTACGATTTGCCTGATTGGCTCATAAAAAAGATAAGTGGATATAGCGTAAAAAGTTCCTCCAAAGTCACTCATTTCTCCCTTGGTTTCTTCAGTCCTCTTCGCGGGCGAGATGGACCAAGTGGTTAGAGCGCGAATTTACTGACCGGAAGGTCCGTGATTCGAACCCGACCTCGGCCCCTTGACTTCCCCTGTCTCGGCTTGGGCAACCTGGCAGTATCCCAGCCCTCATGCTTCCTTCGGGTGGCATGGCAGCTAGGCACCGAAAGGGTGCTACAGCTAGACGATTCAATCCTGTTCAATCTGACGTATTCAGGCTTTGGTATACATTTACATATATGCATGCAAAACATTTAGTGGACGGCAGACATCCCAATCAGATTCAGTGTGGGAAAAATCGATCGATAGCTTTGTCGGTGATTGGTTAGCGATGACGATGCAGAGAGAAGTAGCTTATCCGACAGTACTATGGCGAATTAGTGCACCTTACATTTCGCCTGGGATCGAAACTATGGATTTGATTAACTAATTGCATTCTACAAACTCAAGCCTGACGTACAGTCTCTTGTGCTCGCGTTGCGTAGAAGTATAAAGACACTTACAATGGGTACCCGATACAACGGTAGAAAAGGCAGACCAACTTACTAAGCAAATTTACATGGCAATACAAGTGATTAGGAAAGGCATGGTATGGAACTGTCAGCGCATATAACTGGGAAATCCAATTTCCAACGTTGAAGAATAATAGTTGTATTGTCGTTCTAGTCAAGAAAGACAGTTATTGGAGAATTCATGGTGCCTTTACTTACCAACCGTCACTATTTCAGGCGGAAGAAATGCAAGAATGTACATATATACGCAGACAAGGATTTTTGAGTACTCCGAGCACTTAGGAGAGAAAAGGTTTGAAAATGTCGCGACTTCGCACGAAGTTGTTAATTCAAATAGCAAATTCAAGAATATGAACAAGTCTCCACTAGTTCATAGGATGAATGTGAGGTCTTTTTGCGGTATCTTACTCCTCAATCGATTCACTTTACATCAACACCTTGGGAGAAGATGATTTGAGTGCCCCCAGTTGATGGAAGCGCATTCACGGTGGCCGTCGGCAAGTCCTTCGCAGTTGCCGATGTGATGTTGATTCCCGTGACTGATTTTGCACGAAATAGGTATGCATAAATATAACCTAAGAAGATAGCACTTTCACCAAACGTTGCAAGTTTCTCAATTTTATACAATGAACCGGTGGGTAGTATTTCTTTGTCCTCCAATCCTTTTAAAGAGTTGGTCAACTTCGACTGCGCTTGATAACAAAGGTGCACGTTACGAAATCGAGTTCCTGATCCAACAAGTATTTTCAGTGTATCGTAAAGTTGAGGTTGGACCGATGTATAAACTGCGCCTGTGAAACCTTTGATCGCTACTAAATTTTTGGCGATCATCAGATTTGCTCCTTTTGTCACCCGAAATTGATGTGGTAGTCAGCACCATTATAAAACAAGGTTAACTGGAAATAACGGCGGCGCAGATACAACCACCGGATGGTTAGATCAGACCTAGCAAAACCAGCTTCCAAGGTCTTCTTCGGATCTGGTAAATTGCATTTAGGAAGCCGAAAAACTGAATGTTTGCTTCCTTGGTTGGACTCAAAACACCTGATTCATCAAGACAGAATGAGTATTCCGGAGTATGTATGGCAGATGAGACAGCGAAAATAGGGGTTATGGGGGGTAAGTTTGTGTTCCCTAAGAATAGGTGGGCTGTTTACTAGATAATCTGTGAAGAGACATAGTCTAGAGTACAATGCGTCATGAGTAGGAAAGCGACTATTTTAAAGAGAAGTTCATTGTCAATTTACTCGACCTTCTGTGATGGCGGGACAACCATACCTTTTTTGTGAAAATACGTAATTCGTGCTACTCGAAACATTCTAGTAGCATGTTTGGAATGCATACTAGGAGGTCGAGCGTCCCATGAGGCAGCCGATCCCTAGAGTCCTGTTTATTTGCTTGTCCAACTGACCCGGACATTATTTTCGATGTGCCAATGACAATATGGGAAATGGGTTTAAGCAGCTCGTCGGTATGGTTTATATTCATCTGCTCATCAGCTTTGCTTCTGAGGTTTCATGAGATTTCGATGGTACATCTACTGACAACTCATACTGCCACTGGCTATTCTCCTTGAAATTTATTGTTGCGTTCTGTGGGTCTTCTGCTTCCCAGGAATATTTTGTGATGTTATTATTTCATGCTATCTGCTCAACAGGGGAAGTACCGTAGGTACCGGGGAGGACCTCTACTGGCTCTGCCTGCTAAGGCATGAATGCTCTAGAAATTCAGTTTTTGTCAATCTTGTGAGGCAGTATCACACCCTGTCGTTGCTGCCTTCTTAACTATGGGTGCACGCCCTCAGTCCATACCCTCAAGGTATAGGCCATCCTAGTGACATCCTAAAAACTGTGAGTTTCTAATTACAACAAAATGTTAGGTACAACGGTAGGTCCAAGGACGGCAGTACTGTAAAACTGAGGAAGATGCTGCTTGGGTAGCCGCTTTTGGTTGCATTAATTTCACTGTCTTTTGCGGGAGGAATATTGAAGCAAAATTACCAGATCACTCCGGTGCGGATTGCTACAACCCAACTGGAAGAAATTGCCTTCTCACCAGCCTTAAATAGCATAAAAGTCAACTAAGGATAGCATACGAGATACATGACACAAGCCTAGTTGGGTGATCTCGGATCAATTACTTAAGTGCAATAAGTTGTCACTCGGTGGGTCAATTTATTCAAAATGCTAAATACTAAACCTCAACTCGCAAGATAGGTGAAATTGCTAATTATTGTCTAGGTAACTAATACCCTGTTTACTCTTTATTGAACCTGATTTTTATACCGGGTCACATTTTCTGACAAGTGCTGTCACTGGTAGCCAATGACGAAAGTTTGCTCCCTAAAGGGGATGCGGATTTCCAGAGAAGATATTAGTCCGCACAAAGTGGTGATTTCTGTCCAACGTATGATGCACTGATGAACTTGTTAGAGAAAACTTATACCCGGAATTACTATACGGGAAAAACAGCGAAGAAGACATTACCGAAGCTCTTGTGGTAAATATACAAGCATGCGAATGGATGCGCAAATGAGTAAAGATCATCAGGATTCTCCATGTATCGAACACGAAATTTCCCCATTAGTATCTACGTTTTGTCTGGGTTCACAGTTGAACATAGATACGAATCGTCAGTTGTTCTTGCATTCTACTTGAGTTCCGAACGTTTTCTCAGCGCAGCACGTGTACACGTTGCGTGAGGCAATCGTTTACCTATCCGCTCGAACTCAGTACTGTTTTACACACGAATGTAAAAGTGTACCACGAGAAATCCAATTCCCAGTCAAGTCATTTCGCACAAAATGTTGCGTTAAGAATGGCAACAGAATTCCACTGAATGAATCTATGAGACAATGAAATATGGAGACCCTCTGTACACTGCTCAATGCAGTGACAATGATATATAAAACACCTTACGAACATCTTTCAGCGCAGTGCAGAAGAACTAGATTTCGACTAAAGTAGTTCAACGAAGTCTGGTAAACCCACAGTGCGATCCACAGGAAAATCGTGGATGGGCTTGGAGCCTCACCTTCGGAGCAAGACTTTCAGATGTATTGCACCATGTGTTATTTAAATGTGACCGGATCACAATACCAACCATGATCTCGTGTGGTATGCTCGTCAAACAGTAGCCGGGTAGTTGTAGGTTCCATCTCTCTAGATTTGCTTTGGAAGTGCACTGCTG